CTTTTCGAATTAGTGAATTATTTTTGGTTGTTATAATTTTATAAGTATGAACTCAAAATTAAAAATTGACTGCAAAAACATTCAAAAATTCGCTACGCTAAAATTCCCAGCTCTACTAATGACGTTTCCATTTCAACCGCAAAGAGCAGTGTTGCCATCCATGCACCTTTGCAAGACTTCGAGAATACCACAATTAGTTTTAGAAATTGCAAAACTATTGATATAAGCAAAAACTTATTGAATTTTTCTAACAAAATTTAAAATGTTGCTATGTGTTCAATGAGAGGTAATTAAATATGTAGTTAGTATTAGCAGCTAAAGCTAAGTTGGCATCCTGGACCATCCATTTTCATTCCCTTAGTTTACTTTAGCATATGAACCTAGTTTAATAAAAAAAGCTAAAAGATGTCAAAGGAATATCCGCAATTTTTTGGTTCCGAGAAACAGAACTATGGCTAAGCGAATTTGCTATTTTCTGATTTGCATAGAAAAGTTGATATAAAAGTTGAATTTAGAGTGACTAAGATTAAGAGTAAACTATAAATGTGTACATAAAAGATTAATTCAGTTTATCAATTTCACGTTTGATAGTGGCCACCGCCAGCTCTTCTGAAAATGGCGAAGATATTCCATGACATTTGCGTTGAAAAAACTGGCGTAACTGAAGGTAGGTAAATTTTGACTAAAAATAATTTAATAAGTTTTTTTTTATGTATAGTACAATGAAAAGAAATATGAAGATGGCACAACGCCGAAACCGGCTGTCTGCAAACCAAAATTGACAAGGGATGAGGGAAATTCGTTCTAAAATAAAACATATATGCATTAGAGTGGGCTGAAAATCTGCTTTTTTTCTAAAATAAAAAGGATTTTCGGCCCACGCTAATATGCATAGTATAAAATATATTTGCTTACTTTATCAATATACTTATGGTAGTACATTTTAATTCAGAAGAGACATAAGTAATTGTTCTTGTATGTAATCTATGTATTTGGGATCGAGAAATGGTAAATGTATCGTTTAAACGATGGTTTTCACTATCACACATCACATCCTTTAAAGATCCTGTTGGCCTGTTGGTGTGGTATCTTTACTTCTACCGCACTAAATAAAACTTTATAATAATAATAATATATTGGTGCTCACACATGTGTTGATGTTAGGCCGAGCTTCTCTTCCGATTTGTGGTGTGCCCCTTGATATTGCCTACAGTTTTACGCTGACTTCGAACGGCGATTGTATTTTAATGAGAAGCTGTTTTTCATGTTTTTTTTTTTTTGCGATGTTGCCTTGACCAGGGTTGAACCCAGGCGATGACAATAGGTAAATTAATAAACAAACAGCCACTAGATATTTGATTTTAGAGATTTTTGTCACTCCTGCGCCATGGTGTGCTAGTAACTTCAGCTAGCAGCTAAGTATTCAATCAGATTTGTGATCGAAGGGGACTTTTGAGTACTGACTTGGGAATAGTATTGCATAACACATAAATGACAACAAAATCTCATGTATAAATATTAACATTTTGTTAAGTCCAAAACTTGCTAAAATACATACACTACTTCTCAAGTCACTGTTCCTTTTTTGCTAATTAATTTATATTTTTAAGAGAAAAAATCATCGCTCCCTAAAATATTAGATTTTAAGAACAGTTAATTTGCATATAGCGGGCAATTTTAGTTGGTAGAATTAAGCGAGCTGAGCGAGCTTAAGAGCGGATGGACTTACTCTAGGTCTAAAGGATATAAAAGGGGTATTGAATGATTAAACATATTTTTTCTACCACATATCACATTTATTAAATCGAGTCACAAATAAAAGAGTTAAGACATATTTTTTCAACCACATATCAAATTTCTTAAATAGAGTCACAAATAAAAGAGTTTATTAATTTATAAATTTTTGGCCGTTTTTAAACTCCTCTCAAAGTAATAGCAAATGATAATGATAATAGCAAACTTTCAAACACATAAATAGGTAACGGCGTGTTTATTATTTAACTTCAATTATATTTACGATAGTACTTAACAGCCGCTTTTATTCATTATTCAGACATCTCTAAACACTAAGTATTTAAATTAGTGTAGTTCAAAAATGCTTGTGAAAAAGTAAAGTCGGAATTTTTATGTGCTCACCCCTAGGAATTTTCTATACCCAAAAAAAATATACCTATATTTTTTGTTTGTTTGAAATAAAAAAAATATTTATGGGTCGCTCAAAGCGTTCAAAGTTTTTCATGTATTTTATATGGAGAAAAACATCTTTTCGTAAAAATTTTTTAGAATTCTTGAAGATCAATATTTTTCTGTTTCTCTTCAAGAGATTCCCAATAATAAAACCCAATTATTTAACCGTTGTTTTGTATAGTAACTATATTTTATAGGTCCGCCAAAACCCTAAAAAAATCTTTAGTATTAAAATTTGGTTAAATAAATAATTGGGTGTTATTACTGGAAGCCTCATGAGAGGAGCTAGAGTTCGAAATTATTGATTTTCAAGAATTCTATACCATTTCTACGAAAAGTTGTTTTTTTTCATACAAAATACATGGAAAGCTTTGAACACTTTGAGCGACCTGTAAATATATTTTTTGATTTCAAAAAAAAAAATAAAAATAAATAAATAGGAGTTTTTTCCGATATACAAACCCCGTAAGCGCATTAAGATTTCGACTTTACTTTTTTGGACTACCCTACTATAGATATAGTATGCAGATATAGCATCCAAACAGCTGTTTTAAATACAAAAGTATCATATGGAATAAATGTTCCTATTCAAGTAAATTGACGGTTCTTATTTCTATAGGAAATACTCGCATGTATACAAATAAATAAGAAGAAAATTCATTTAATTAAAAATTTTAATTTACTAAAAATTTTCCCATCGAATAGAGGCGATCAAGGAATTCAGCGACGGTCAGATACACGAAGATGAGGCGCTCAAATGTTATATGAATTGTCTGTTCCATGAAATCGATGTGGTGGACGATAATGGTGATGTGCATTTGGAAACGTTATACAACACCGTGCCGGGTACTGTGCGTGATAAACTGATAAACATGGCAAAGGATTGCGTGCATCCGCAGGGCGATACGCTTTGTCACAAGGCTTGGTGGTTCCATCAGTGCTGGAAGAAGGCCGATCCTGTGGTAGGTTGCGTTGCTATAAATTAATACACACAAGAGCGCATAAGTTATTAAGTGTTATTTATTGTGATTTTTAGCATTACTTCCTGCCTTAAATTTCTTGGCACAAGCTGATATCTTGTATGTTCCGGCATATCGTTGTCACCGACTTCTTGTACCATCAAAAACTTTGACGACAGAACCTTAGAAAAGGCCAGTTGTGTGGATAAAATAAAAGTTTATGTAGAGTTTTTCTTTTATTTAGTTAAGTAAAATTTTATTTTATTAAAGCATTACAAAAATCTACCAATTTTGTCTGATATACATATGTATGAGCAGATAGCTATCAGAGGTAATTAGTAATCGGTTTGACTATAAAAACCAAACACGGCTCAGCTGAGTATAAACCCATAGCCAAATATCGAAATGTGGTAAAAATATTACTTTTCTGTTGCGCAGTTTAAGCAATGGGCTAGTTAAATGCATTATGGAACACCCAGCCCAAACGTTAACGCAAGCGCAATTTTTGGTTGATTTTTTTTTCTCTCCTCCTCCTCCGCCACCGTAGTGGATATAGTAGCTTTATTGTTTCCTCCGTCCTGACCGACTAAATGGCTGGAACTATCTTCTCAACTTATTTCAGTGCCCTTACCATTCGATAGGGTGGAAAAGTGTTTCCTCTTTAATATAAGAACCTTACAGAAATCAGCCACTAAATCGGTGTAGTTGTCCTTACAGAATTACGATTCGTTTTGTGCTGAAAGCTAGTATTGCATGCTACCATATCTCGGAGCCTGGCGAAGTCGATCAGTCCGTATTTGGAAGTGTTATCGTTGGTATCGATTCCTTCCTTGCAAACACTGACATTGAAATAGCCAATAATGGAATCAAGTATTCACTGGGGAAGCGCTCGTAGTTTTACTTTAAGCGCTCATAAAATAGATCGCTGGACGTTCGTTTTTTCTTTGAGGGCATGGTCACATGTTAGAGGTATGTTGAATAATCTAGCTTTAATGCGGATTGTGGATAGACGCTCGTCCTCTGGGGTGAACGACACTATTCATCGACGGAGTATCGCCCCTACCACAAATGCAACTCCAAAATTTGCCCATCTTCATATGGCAGTTGTGGTAGGTGTTGCAGGGGCCTACTTATGCGTTTTTGCTTTGCCCATTTATCACATTTCTAATACGGCAATGATTTTAGCCCTCGTTGTTCAAAGGCTATTAGCTAGTTACAAGCATCTTTCACATTCCAGGGGCATTACCCCTAATCATATCTAGTTCTTTAATCGTTTTTCGTGGTCGTCGCCTAAGAATGGGCGAATAAAAATTGCAAAAACCTAATTAAACTTCGAAAAATTGTTATAAAAATTTCAAACTTTTTAATCAGCATTGGATATTTGTGAACTGTTTGTCGAGGGAGTTGATAATTTTCTTCCATATAACGCATGAACAAAATCTATTTTGATATGGAAGAAATTGGGCAACACCTCGACAAAAAAAAAAAATCTCAAATATCAACTGCAATTTTTAGCTTTTCGACACTTGCACTTTATAGGACTTACATTGAATAAACCACAAAACTGAATACCCAAAATTTTTATAAAAATTTTGCTTAAGAAGTTTGAAATTTACCACTAAAATTTATGTTTTTTAAGTTTGAATAAATTTTGAGAATATGCCCAGCAAAAAATCGGTAATCGCTTTTAGTGGTAACGTGTTCTAGAAGGCATAGCGTTATAATGCCTTCGAATTTTTTCGCTTCTTTTAGGCATTGCCAGTAATGCAAAGTAGAATGTGCTACAATATTTTATTTATCTCGCTTCTTCGTTTCATTTCGGGGAATGCAAAGTAGAATGTCCTATACTATTTATTTTTTAATTCGATTCTTTGCTTAATTTCCGGGAATGCAAAGTAGAATGTCCTACAATATTTTATTTGTTTCGCTTCTTTGCGTCATTTCAGGTAATGCAAAGTAGAATGTCCTACAATATTTTATTCGTTTCACTTCTTTGCTTCATTTCGGGGAATGCAAAGTAGAATGCTGCATCGTAGTCAGCTGAAAAATGGAAGGAATATCCAAAAATTCTTTTTCTACCGTTACTTTCTGTGGAAATTTGTCTCGCCTAAAAATCATGTTTTGCTTTGTTCAATTTGCAGCGAAGTTGAAGTCAGTCAATGAAGTGACGTACAAGAGTGAGGAAGTACAATTTTAAGCTTAATTAAATATGCATGTATGTACATACCGATTTTAAAGAAAATCTAAATACCTAAATACATACATATGTACGCTGATTTATACAATTTTTTATTAAATTTAACCTTTTAAGACATTTTCTGATTTCAATTTAATATAAATAAGTATGTACTTATCTAGGCATTCTACATTAGTTTCTCTGTAAGGCATTCTTTGTTCGCTTCTCT